TATCGCAACCTACAGCTGTACCTGTCGCTGGGTATGAGGCTGACCAAAATACACAGGGTGCTCTCATGTTCGACCAGAGCCCATGGATGGAATCCTACATCAGAATGAACACAGACCTCCGAAAGCTTGCCACCAGTGACTTTGAGAAAAACCTCTACAAGCTCATGAACAACTCGGTGTTCGGTAAGACTATGGAGAACATGAGGAAACGCGTGACCGTGAAGCTGGTTCGGCCGAATGAGGAAGACAAGCTCAGGAGACTGATAGCCAGTCCGGCATTCAACCGTAGCAAGATATTCACCTATGACGTAGTTGCCCTACACATGAAGAAAAGCCACATAAAATTCAACCGGCCTGTTTACGTGGGGATGAGCATCCTCGATTTATCCAAACACCTGATGTACAACTTTTACTACAACAAGCTTAAGAAACAGTAACACGACAGGTGTGAAGTGCTATACACTGACACGGATTCCCTGCTGATGGTGATTCGAACCGAGGACGTGTAGACGATGACATGAAACACCTCGATTTGTAACGACACCAGCGACTACCCCAAGGACCATGCCATACACAGCACGGTAAATAAAAGGTCCTAGGTAAGATGAAGGACGAAAGTGTGCTGGCACGCCCATAGCCGAGTACATAGGTTTGAGACCTAAGATGTACTCCATCCTGAAGGCCGACAATAGTGAGATCCGAAGGCTAAGGGTGTTAAGAAGTACGTGGTTAAACAACACATCAAACACGCCAGATTCAAGGAAGCCCTGTTCAAGACCCGCACATTTAAACATAAAATGAACACACTTAGAAGTGATGGGCATAAGATATACGGGCTGACTATAAACAAGACGTCCCTGTCACCGATGGACACTAAACGTTGGATAGCTATTGATGGGATAAACACGTACGCATACGGGCATGAGAAAATTGAACCAAGAACATAGATAAAAAATACCCTGTCTGGACGACATGTCACGGAACCAGAGAAAGTTTGAGGCTATTTACTATAGCCCGCGAGCCACCGATCCTATATGGTCAATCAAAACTTACAACATAGATAAAGTTGACATGAAATCAGACGAGCCTACCTTGTACTACTTGAGGGATGGCCCAGGCAGAGGGTTTGTAAGAGAAGAATTATTGATCGTACCGTACGGCACAATGTTACCTCCTGTCAACAGCACGTGATGTGTGGGTGCGCGTGATCTACCCGTTAAACTGACCCACTTCAGCTAAGTCCGTGGTAGCTCAGTCGGTTGAGTGGTGTGACCCATTATGTATAGTCTGCGCAAGCTGTACATGTGGGGTTCGTATCCCACCGTCACAACTTTGTGTGATGTGATACACAATTCCCCTTGGGAGGAAGCGCAATACATTTCTGTTTCTCCCTTGGGGAATTGTGGCTGCCGGGACATTTTACTACTTTTCAAAATAGTAGGGGTAATGATAGCAAGAGCTAAGGGTCCGACCAAAGCCTTATTTGGGAAATAAGGCTTTGCAGAGGCTTTTGTTGGACTTGGTCCCGGACAATCATTCCCTCTACTACTGTTGAAGTAGCTGAAGTGATTTCAGTGACTCATTCTCATATGCAGTATCATCTTTGCCTCTCCCTCTACATGTCATCAGTGTTCAGCACCTTGCAGCACTCAACAGACCAAACTATAAAAGGTGGAAGTCGTATGAGTGAGATAGTGTCCCGTAGCCACTAAGGTTTTGACCTACAACATCCTAACTGACAACAAGAGTCATCAAGAGACAAATTTGATGGAGGTAATCATCAAGTCCTACAAGACTCACATGTCCAACTTCAGGAGAGTATATGAATCAATCTGTCTGTATACATTGAGCTATTGAAAAAAAGGAATAAGGGATAAGCTCATGTAACAGGAATAAGGGATAAGGTTATTGTAACAGGAATAAGTGATAAGCTCATTGTAACAGGAAATATTCTAAAATTCCCTAAATTCAAAAGGCACCAGTTGACACCCTGATCAATGTGTGTGCAAATATTTGTGAATGAATACTTATTACTTTTAGAGATATGATCTGGATAAGAACACTACTGTTAACAGAGTTAAAGTCAAACTTGTTGCCATGGTTACAGACAAAATAAATATTCTACAAAGTCATAAATATCAAAAGGCACCATTTCACAAACTGAACAATGTGTTTGCTAAGTTTTGGGAATGAATACTTATCAGTTTTAGCGAAAATTGTTGCCCATGGTAACAGGGGAAAATAAATATTCCAAAAATCAGTAAGTGGCAAAAGGCACCAGTTGACAAGCTGATCAATGTGTGTGCAAAGTTTGGTGAATGAATATTTATTAGTTTCAGAGATATGGTCCGAACAAGGACACTACTATGAACAGAGTCCAAGTCAAACTGATTGCCATAATTGCAATGTTTCGTGGATGAGTTCTTATTTGTGTTAGAGTTATAGTCCAGACAAGAAAGTACAGTCAAATCCTGATGAGTCGATCTCTGGGGACCAAGTAATAAATTCGACTTATTGATGTATTCGAGACATAGGTATGTCTATGAGGGTAGAAAAAAAGATGATCCAGTCCTAATTCCTCCGCCTAAGCATTTGTTTATCTAATGATTTCCCTATCACTAATAGGGGCACCTTATCAGTTCCAGTCTGATTAGCACAGACAGTGATTTCCGTAAAATCACTAATCTGCCTTTTGAACTCACCCATCAAAGGCGGAAAGGTGTGAGCCGCGCTGGTTTGTTAATTGGATCAGTTTGCTACACCAATCAACTTCTCATTGACTGACTTCGGGCTTATGTATACAAGATTGCTGTTGTTTGAATCTCATGGGACCAAATTTTCTTCTCGAGTCATCGTGTGTATTTATGAGTCGAATTCGTGTAACCGGTATTCAAATGATGACAACTATAACAGGGAATGGTCGGGACCGACAGGTACTTCGAGTTATGCATAATATTCGAGACACCGGCATTCGACTCATTGGGATTTGACTGTATTACAGATGGACAGACAGACAAACAAGCTGATTGTAACTATATCCCCCCGTATTATTATACAGGGGGGATAACATTTAGTGAGTCATCTGATAAAGGGAAAGAATATGCACTTACATGAATCATATCGCCTCCATATCATCAAGATATCGGGATATCGGGATACATATGATATAGTGTTCCCATTGTATTTGTACACCTCTAAATGACAGCAGGTGTTTTGACACTGAAGATGTTTCCACCATCTGGTCATGTCCTATCGGTTGAGTAGACTCAAGTGTACGAGGTACATGAACGGTGGCTAGGACCTGTATACAGTGTTGGTCCACAGGCAGAACAGCACCCTGGTCACTACCAGGATATGATCTCAGCAGCTGGCATCTTTCTAGTATGATCTTTAGAATATTCGGCCAATAGCAACAGATTGTTATCTCTATTTTTGTGAAGGTGTTCAACAAGTATTCATATATCCACCTTGTGTGAGTTATCAATAAAGCTGCCTGATTGTTTATCAAAAGAACACAATGTAAATGTTATGCCATTATCGTTCGATTCAAACTTGAGTACAGATATGCCAGCAACTAAAATATACATAGACCTCGATTTGAGGTACTTGATTCAAGTTGCTATGCAAACCTAGTTGCACCAGACAAAACCATGTTGCAACCTGGTCTTATAAATTAAATTTGAAACATAAATGCATGATTTTTTAAATAAATGCAAACTCAGATCTCTGAAGACTGTGTAACGTTTGTAATATATAGCTTTAAAACAAGAATCATGCAGATAAGCTTAACATAGCCATAGTTTGATTATGGCAAACCCCAACAGCCTGACAAATTACAATTAACACAGACAGGGGTGGAAATAACCCATTGCCCGACGCCCGAGTCCAGTTTTTTTCTGTCGGGCAAGCAAATTTGTATATCACACTGTACCGGTGTCCAGTTGATATTCCAATGTTAATTATGTTGTTTATTTAAAAAATCAACAAGAAAACGGCCGATATAGTGGAAATATTATCAGGGCAAGTGATTTTACATGTGCCACTGTACCGGAGTACAATAGCAATTTTAAAGTTATTTCCATCCCTGACAGAAGTTGTGATGTTTTGTGTGTGTTCAGAGACTGTAATTAAGAGTTAGTAAGCCATTTGTCAATTACAGTTGGCACAGGGTACACTTATGCATGATGTATATAGATAAATAAAGCAAATGATTGTTTCAGTTTGCACTAAAGGACATATACTTTCTCATGTCATGATATATGACACTGTGTGTCTCATATGTATTTTGTTCACATGACTTATGCATATACATATACATACTATGAAGCAGTGTGTGAAATAGTTTCCAAATCTTGCTAGCCAGTCAGGCTAGCTATACCTGAAAATTACTAGCCCACAAAATAATTGACTAGTCCAAAATTTGTATGTAGACACAGGTTTCATCATTAGGCTGCTAATATGATGAACAATTTTATCAAGCCAAAATCTTGCATGATTTCAAAGTGTGTTGTAACTTAACAAGTCGGAGAGAGTGATATATTTACAAAATGACCCCATGAAAATTCACTAGACAGTCAGGCCAGTGACTGTGGAGATTTACTGGCACGACTGGATTTTTACTAGCCACAGGCGAGCAGGTCAGTGGCTATTTCACACACTGCTATGAAGCAATTTGAAAAGAACCCAAAGAAAGAATTCTTTGAGCAATGTTTAGAGACACAGCAGCTGTAACCATTCATTCAAAGTTTCAGCTCCTTCAGGAGATGTCATTAACTCTATAGTAAAGGGAGTGGTAGCAGATGTAGTTCCACGACATTATATATAAAGCTCACTTGACTGCGCTTTTGTAACGCACTCACATGATTAACTAGGTTACAAGGGAAGGTACATTATGAACATATACCACACACACCATAACAGTTTCAAATCTTAGTAACAGAAAAGTACCTTTAGAATATGTTCCAGTTTCAGTTTCAAGAAAAGGATATTTCCCATCTTACCTGATAAGAGTAATTCATTCAGACGCCTCCTGTCAACTGACATGATATACTGCAACAGAAACACTGTTGACAGTTAGGGAATTAATGATGTCACAAATGTTGAGAGAGACAATGAAAATTATTATCCCAGCACTATAGTTGACCTGATCTACATTTGTGCATACATATGCTGTGATTCAAATAATATATGTTGAATGAAACAACAAACTCATACATGTACTCAACTTGACTACCTTTCATACAAGAATGGATAATTAATAATAGCTACAGATAGCTTTTTCAATATGATAGCAATGTGTCATTTAATATTTATAAAGACATTTAATGAATTCTTTTACACTACATTTTGATGAAAATGAGTTCATGTATTATGAATGCTAAAGTCTTCAGGACAAAAACAGCTTTTCATTTATAAGGGTAAGAAAAAGCATGTTTCACCATGAAAAAAGCCTACCCTTGGACATCACATAAAAATATGTATGTTTCTTAAAACTTATAAATTAACCATTTTGCACTGCAATGAAAACAGCATGGTATCAAAAGACATCAACATGCTGCTTATGAATCACAACAATATAAGACGTGTTCTCAAATCAATCGATTTAATCGATCATCTGTGGTTTTAACATTTAAACTTAGCAATTAATGACAAAATCTATGATTGATGAGTTTACAATTATACTTGGGGATCATGGAATCTTATGTTATGATGAGATGTCAGAAGAAAGATCAGTTTTAAATTGTATTGCCAGCGATTGGGACCTAATAGTTGGGACCTAATCTCAAACCCACTTGATGTGTCTGGAGGCATTTAAATGAAAGCCATAGGAGCGTCAATGTAAGGTAACATAACAGATAGAGCAGGATCAGTATGACATACAGAGCACCACTCATATGTTCAATGGAAGGATCACCTCAGTGCCCTCAAGACAACTTACTGGCACCTAGAGTTGAGCTGTTTGCATGCCATGCTGGTCCATATTTTGTGTGTCAAGGTATCATGCCTTGGATGTATTATTTCTTCAAGCAGTAAAATATGACAGAAAGCAATAGCCAGCTATACAGTTGAAGTAATCTCATACCTGATCTCTCCTGCCATAGGGAATGGGTCTAGTGCTTCCATCCTTGTCATGTATCATACGGGCATACATCGGAATACCATTCCGTACCACTTCATCTTCTAGTCCTACATGCTTCAAAGCCTGTCGACCACGGTGCGACAGGGCAAGGTTGATGCTTCTACCTCGCACAATCTCTTGTGTGCGAATATCTGAGGAAAACTTGTATAATTCAGTAAATATTAATTCTATCTGGTTCTATCCAGGATTTGAAACTCGCACTCCGAGTGAGGCATCTAATCACAAGCACACAAAGTCAGTGATCCAACCAAATCAGCCATCACAGTCATAGAAGGCTGAGTGGGCTAGATCATTGATCAAATTCCGGATTGAGCTCAACCCAAAACATTACTGGGATATGTCCTTTCATCATGAATTCTAACAATAAAACACAGAACACATTATATAGATAACTTGATGTTATGCTTTAAACAAACTTGTACTCATCACAAATCACAAAAAGGAACCCAAACAATCTAACCATGCATGTACAACAAAAATATATACATCACAGAACAATGCAAGCAGACTTACCTGGCCGCTTTTCATATAAGTCAACATGAAAACCTCTCTTGGCCAAGAAGCAGGCATTTAAGGAACCAACCTGTAACATTAAAGCGATAGCTCTAAAATATTATTCACTAAATCTTGGTGACAATTAAATACCGATAGACGAGTGGTTGATAGCATAGGGTTTTATCTCGACTCACAAAACATGAGTGTCCTGAGGACCCCCAATTATAAGTTTTAAGGGTCTGTGTGGGCCAAATGAGGGACCTGTGAAGTAACAGTGTAGAGAACTGTACATTTTGATACTTTCTTAAACAGGTTGGAATGAATTATTTATCATGTGGGCAGATGGATGGCATGATGCACAAAACTGCTCTGAAAGAAACAACCAAACACTTAGCAAAAACTAGATGTGTTGAGGGTACAATGAGTAATATTGTGCGTCCCTCTGAATTGTTAAGTATTTTTCTGCGTCCATTCTCTACATTTGTACTACTACTAGGGACTAGCAGACACATACATTTATCCAGGTGCCAAACCATGTTTCGTCCCAAAGCAGGCTTATTTAACTCAGGAGTAGTATTGGACACATCCACATAAACCCTTTCATAACTGATATAAGAAGCACATCACAAGCTCAACATGTTCTATAAGGACGGTTATAAACTGATTCTCCAGTATCTATGAGCCTTACGTGTTTCTTGTACATTAAATGAAAGAGTTTATATGAATGTGAAAATTGATCAACAGAGAAAAATCCTTCCTTTGAGTTTTGAATTTTTTTATAAGTTTATTTGAGCTTTTTACATCATAATGAAAGGTGACATTAAATTCACTGCTAGCTATTTAGTATGGCCATTAACTTAGCAGTGGTATACTATCTCCTAACTTTATACTATTTGGTATGACCATCATTGGCTGCTATTGTCACAATTCAGCAAATTCATGCCATGTATTCGATTACGTTATCTAATATACTGAACAGCAAGTCTGGCTTTTTGTCAGGTTTGTGAATAGAAGACAACCAAAATCATGTCCAATCATTTATTCTATAGACAACACTGTCAATTTAACAGCTGAAAGTTGCTGTTGACATTGAATTGCAATAAGTTCAAATTGATCACAGTCCATCAAATGGAGATACGCCTGAACGCGAAAAGTGAAAGTCTATGGCCACCTTGAGCTTGCACACAGGCCGTGCAACGTGGCCTCATTGAGTTCACTAGAGTCTGAAAGAATGCCTGAGGCAATTGGTTCAGCTCAAACACCAATCTCTGTTCCAATTGTGCAAGTGTGAGTGGCTGTCTACCTGCACCAATCCTCCGTCCAATTTCGTCCCAGAATGTTCAATGGGAGCCATATACGGCGAAAGAGACGGCAATGGAAAACGTTAATGTTGTTTTAAGCCAGATAATCCATCGACACCCCTGCTGTGGGAGGGCTGCAAATGTCGCTGGCGTTGTTGGTGTGTCAAAGTTGGCCCCACATGTATACTAGGCACATAAAGAAACTGTGCATACAAAATTTAAAATCTAAATTGATCAAACATGTGTAGACACATAAGGATTTAAACTCAGAGGTTAGTGACATGTATCCAACATGCATGCACGTGCCACATTCCGTGACGTCAGTGGGTTCGTCCTTGAGACGTGCAATACGTTGTTGCACGCGCATTCCGGGTAAGAGAAACAGAGCAAATGAATGCCACCCAATACTGTCACATTGGAAAGCTCAACCCCTGCCCTTGCGATTGTTCAAAAAATTAAACGGATATTGAAACGCACAGCATGCCAAGGCTCACGTCTGCACAACGTCATGAGGCCATTGGGATGGTCCGTGGGGAATGTCTCAACGACAAGTGGCTGCACATTCCACTGCCATCGAACACCATTTCTGCACTGGTGAGGCGCTACCAGAACACAAATGACGTCATCGATCGGCCACGTTCTGGACGTCCACGTTTAACAACCCCAAGACAGGACATATGGATAAGGGTGACCCATCTTCACCACAGGTTTCAGACTGCAGTGATAACTGCCCGAACCATCCCAGGACTTTGCCGTATCCACCCCAACACAGTTCGACAACGTTTACGTCATCACGGGATCAGACCACGACGTCCCGCCATACGGCCTATCCTGACACGTCATCGACAAGCTCACCGAATGTGGTGCCGCAATCATGTCTGCAGACCCTTGTTTTGGTGGAGAAATGTTGTTTTTACAGATGAGTCCAGGTTTAACATTTCCCATAGTGATGGACGTCAACGTGCCTATAGACGTGTGGGAGAACGTTATGCACAGGCCTGTGTCTTGGAGAGGAATCGCTTTGGTGGTGGTTCCGTGATGATTTGGGGTGGAATAACAGCACGCCAAAGAACTCCTTTGGTGATTGTTCAGGTTCAACTTAACTGGTGTGGGCTACAGGGATCAGATTCTTCGACCTGTGGAAATTCCTTTTCTGAAACGTCATGGCCCTGGGTTAACATTCCAACAGGACAATGCCCGCCCTGATATGGCAAGGGTTGCTATGGATTTCTTGCAACACCACAACATTGACTTACTGCCTTGGCCTGCAAATTCACCGGATCTCTCCCCGATAGAGCATGTTTGGGACGAGATGGATCGACGTCTACGCCGTCTTCCTCATCCGCCAGATAACATCCTTGACCTTGCAACAGAACCTGAGAGAATCTGGCGTGCATCCCACAAGCCTTCCCTGCACGTTTGATAGGCTCTATGCGTCGTCAATGCACTGCTGTTCTCAGTGCCGATGGTGGACATACCCGTTATTGAGCTTGTGACATGGTCGTTTGACCCCTGTCCCGCTTGTGGACTCGTGAGGTCATTGTGATTGACTTTTCAATTGAAATTCTCCCGACTTGTTATCGTCTCATGATCCCTCCATTAAAGCTTATATGTACCTTTGACATTGTTATCGTACTTATCAACTGGGATAATATTTTGACAATGCACAGTTTCTTTATGTGGTTAGTGTATTTGATCACCTATTTTATTCAGAATTGCATTATGTTTACAAATAGCAACAGTATATTAAGCATTGAATTATATAAAATTATTACTGTAAACTATTTTTTTTTAATCTTTTTTTTGTCAATATCGCTGAAGACTTTCAACAACAAAAGCCCGAAACATTCTTGTCAACACTGTCAAATAAGTGAACTTGCTTATGTTCCTCTTGACATCTCATTACCGAAAAGCTTCAATGATGAAATTAGGCTTGGAGTATAAAACAACTGTCTCTGCTTTGGCTTCAGAGTTGTGAACATAATACATGTATGTGGGGACTTCATGCGAATAGTGTCGGACACAAAAACGCTCTGAAATTTTTATGTATTGCCATATCTTTTCACTTTAACAAACCAGTTTTGGTATATTAGTTAGTTGTTTCACTGTCCATTGGCAACAGATGTTATCTTATATAAATGTGCCCTTATCATGATGTCATTGCTACATGGCTGAAATTCATTATTTATTTCACTCACTCTGGAATTCACTTGGTTACATCAAGTTCTTGGCTTCAATCTCATAAAAATGAGGTCTTCATTGAGAGAGGTTTGGTGTCAGAGCATACAATCTGATCCTAAAGATTTACTTCTTGTTTGGTATTAGAGTATACCACTTGATCCTAAAGACTTTCTTCTGTTTTGGTGTCAATGCATACCATCTGATCCTAATGACTTTCCTGTTTTGGTGTCAATGCATACCATCTGATCCTAAAGACTTTCTTCTGGCTTGGTGTCATAGCATACCATCTGATCCTAAAGACTTTCTTCTGGCTTGGTGTCAGAGCATACCATCTGATCCTAAAGACTTTCTTCTGGCTTGGTGTCAGAGCATACCATCTGATCCTAAAGACTTTCTTCTGGCTTGGTGTCAGAGCATACCATCTGATCCTGCAGACTTTCTTCTGGCTTGGTGTCAGAGCATACCATCTGATCCTAAAGACTTTCTTCTGGATTGGTGTCAGAGCATACCATCCGATCCTAAAGACTTTCTTCTGGCTTGGTGTCAGAGCATACCATCTGATCCTGAAGAAATTTCTTCTGGCTTGGTGTCAGAGCATACCATCTGATCCTGAAGAAATTTCTTCTGGTTTGGTGTAAGAACATACCATCTGATCCTGCAGACTTTCTTCTGCTTTGGTGTCAGAGCACACCTCTGTTTAGCACTAGTCTGAACTGTATTGCAGTGGTAATATATGCCAAATCATCATGTGGAGGACTGCTAAATCCATTAAATTGAAACTTGCATAGAGTTTGTTCTACAGCAGTAACACTGTGTCACTATGCTCTAATTAATGACACCCATCTCTGGTTATTCAACCAGTGTTCTTTCCATTGGATTCATGTTACTTTTGCACAGTTCAGTAAGAGACAAAGCAATATTTCACATAAACAATATCATTGGCTGGTTGATTGGGTCAGTCGGTCAGTAACAAGCTTTTTATTGGCATAAACTGGCACAAACTTGTAAACACTGATAATACTTCCAGAACACTGACTGTCCAGTGCTAACCAGGTCAGCAAACATGTGCAATCTGCTATGTCCCTTGTCCTTGATTAAAAAGCTGTGCCAGATCAACAATACAGATATGTAGTCAGCAGCATATGTCAACAGAGAGAATTACTTGATGGGAGTTGCAGTCAGCATAGCTATCAATTATTTTCTGCATAAATGCTGAAAGCAATAGCATAATTGAACATGAAACAAATAACACACTAGCCACAGTGTTTCTCTATCTACAGCAGTAGCATCTTGTTGAAAACCACAAAAGAGTTCTTATGGGGAAAAGTTTCTTTACGCCATAAAGTTTTAAGGTACAGTAAATTCCAAATGTTTCATGAAGCTACCTGATACAAAACTTCAATTTCCTCAGTCTGAGATTTTTACTTCCTTTAAACAGCAATGTAAAATATTCTAATGGCTCTACAATCCACAAATATCAGAGTATTAGCCACATGTGTTTTTGAAACAAATATTGAAACTCAGATTTGAACCTCTTGAATAAACTTAGGTCTTGTAATTAGCTAAAACAAGCATGTGAAGTTTAAACTACACAGCTCAAGCAATT